GGGAAAAAAAAAAAAAAAAAAAAAAAAGGGGTAAAAAAAAAAAGAGCGTGGAGGAGCCTTGCGAGCAGCAGAACGCTTCCTGACGCAAGTTTTCTGTTTAGTCACCGCCGCTCCACGCTGGATTTGGGGTTGGGAAAGGCAGATTTGCCACCTGCTCTTTTGGCTCCCCACAACTGCTCCCTGGAAAAGGCACTTTTGCCTGTGATTACAGCCCCTGCTATTCAAAAAAGCCTCAACTTCAGCTGCTGGAGGAGAGAACCTGAATAGTTTGGGCGAGTTCCCCATTTGTCACAGGACTGCCTCACCCACAAATCACCCCGAGCTGCCTTTGTACCCCGGGAAGAGGCTGACAACGCCGGGGCCTCTCGCTGATTCTGCTCATTCTTCCCCGAGGCGTTTCTGGGGCTGCTTTGGGGAGCAGCTCCCACACCTTGGTGGTTCAGGGTGGGCTGGTCAGGGGGTAATTCCCCCCTCCCCTGCGCCCCAATTTTGTTTTCCTGCTCTTTAGGAGACTCGATTCCCTCCTTTGGGTGAATAGCAAAGCTTTGGGATGGGGTTACGGATGGAAAAAAGGGGATCCAATGGACACTGGCTGGAGAAGGGTTAGGGAAGCCCCTCACCCCTGACCCACAGCAGTCCAGCCCCAAAATCCCCCAGACTCTGCCCTTCACCCCATTTGTCACCCTACACAGGGGACAGCCCCCCGAGGGGACAGCCCTGCTCCCCATTCCCTTTAATGGGACAGCAGATTTCTCTCTCTCTCCTCAGGACCCCCATTTATCCCCCCACGATCTCAGGGAAGCAGTCCCCCACTGCCCCCTCCAAGCCCTGTGGTGAAGGGGTCCCCAAAATTACCCCTCTCCCCCAGATTCCTCATCACAGAGAAGGGGAACCCTCCAAACACCTCATCACCTCGGCGAGGGGTCTTACACCCGCCCTGGCCCCTTTCGGGCACGAAAAGGGGGTCCCCAAACCTGCTCTCCTCACGACAGAGCAGGGGTGCTCTACCTACACCCCCAGACCCCTTCACCCCTCAGATTTACCCTTCCCTCAAAGCTCCCCGTCACCTCAGGGAAGGGCTCCCTAAAACTGCCCCTTCCAATCTCCCCTCAGGGAAGGGGGTCCCTAAAACTGCCCCCTCCAATCTCCCCTCAGGGAAGGGGGTCCCTCAAACTGCCCCTTCCAATCTTCCCTCAGGGAAGGGGGTCCCTAAAACTGCCCCTTCCAATCTTCCCTCAGGGACGGGCTCCCTCAAACTGCCCCCCACCCCAATCTCCCCTCTCACCGCCCCCCCAAAGCCGCTCCGTACCCGTCACCACCACCGCCCGCCGCGGCTTCTCCATCGCGGCTCCGTCCTGTCCTGTCCTGTCCTGTCCCGTCCCGTCCTGTTCCGTTCCGTTCCGTCCCGTTCCGTTCCGCCGCCGCCACCGCCCCGCACTGAGCGCGGCCCCGCCCCGCGCCGCCTGCCCCGCCCCGCCCCGCGCAGCCCGGACCCGCCGCTTCCGCCGCCGCGGCGGAAGTCCCGCAGCGGGACGGCCTGGAGCTCTTCACCCGTTACCGATCACCGGGAGCTTCCGTGCGCCGCGCAGCCCGAGGGGATCCCGCTCGCTCGCCTCAGCGCGGGACTCGGAGGGGGTTGTTTAAACAAAACGTTCACCTTGAGACTCCCGGGGGTTCTCTGCCCGGTTGTGGGGGAGCACGAAGCGAGGCCGCGGTACCGGGAGCTCCGGAGCGCGTCTCGCCCATCCCGGTGCGTCCCATCCCGGGCGGTGCCGCCGCAAAGGCGCGGACCGAGCGGCGCGGCGCGGCCGGGCCGTGATCTGCGCTCTGATTGGCTGCTACGGGACCGCGCCGCGCTCTGATTGGCTTCGGTGGGACCGCGCTGTGCTCTGATTGGTCCCGCGCGGAGCCGGGGGCGGTTTGAGCGGCAGCGCCCGGCGCGGCGGCGGCTCCCGGGTCCGGCACGATGGTGAGCGGCGGCACCGGGGCCGGGAATGGGGAACCGGGGAACGGGAGGAGGCTGGAGCGGAGGGCCTGGCTCGTTTCTTCCCCCCCGCCCGGGATGGCGAGCCCGGTACCCACTCTGTGCTCCGGTCGGTGTCCCGGCCGGTGTCCCGTTGTCGGTCGGTGCCTGAGGCCTTTCTCCTCTCTTCCCCTCGCAGCTGCCCCTGTCTTTGCTGAAGACGGCGCAGAACCACCCCATGGTGAGTACCGGCAGCGCGGCCCAGCCCCGTTCCCTCACCGGTGCCGTGCGGGTGACACCGGGCACATCCCGGTACCGGCGTTGGGCCGGCGCCCCCGTGACTGCTGTTGTCTCGTAGCTGGTGGAGCTGAAAAACGGGGAGACGTACAACGGGCACCTGGTGAGCTGCGACAACTGGATGAACATCAACCTGCGGGAGGTCATCTGCACATCACGGGTAAGGCCGGAGCACCGGGCACCGGGCGGGGGACACCCGGGGCAGTGTCCAGCACCGGGCACCGGGCGGGGGACACCCGGGGCAGTGTCCATGGGGAATGACCAGCAGTGGGCAGGGGTCACCCGCCCTGGCATGGGGCAGTGGTCACCACGCATTGTCACCAGGACCAGACAGGGTCACACACCCGCTGTCACCTCAAATACTGTCCCCAAAGGTTCCCTAGCTCTGTCCCTGCAGCCAGGCTGGCTCTGCTGTAGCTCATATTGCTCCTATGGAAGCGTGACTCTGCCTGAAATGCAGATTTAATAACATCATTAATTATGTCTATAATTATTGATAATGTCCATAATGAAGGAGCAGCCTCGTGTATGTGTGCAGGTGAATTTTTGCACTTCACAGGAACGAGGGGTTGGGTTCCCTCATCCCCCTGGGCCCCATGTGATGTGATGCTAATCCAGATTTCCCAAAAACCAGAGCCTTTACGTGTCCCAGGCAGCCTCAAACACCAAAATCTCATTTATTACCTGCTTGTCTCTTCTCTCTCCACATCCAACTGAGTTCACCCACTGAGGCTGTCTGGGACTTTTGCCCTTGGCCAAAGTTACTCCAGGAGATTGGGGTCTGTGTTTTGGGCTTTGATCTCCATCAGAAATGTCTGGTCTCATGCCTGTGGGAAGCACAAATGGATAGAAATCCAACTGTTGTTGTGCTTTCCTAGCCCTGGGATGTCAGAACTCCACGGGAGAGGCTGGCAGGGATCCTCGTTCTTCCAAAAATCTCCCTGCAGACCCCCCCAGTTCCCACTGTTTGGGGTGGTGCTGCTGGGGCACATCAGTGTGACAGGGGAGACACCGTGAGTGAGGCATGGGAGGGAATTTCGGGGTGGAATTTTGGAATTTGTGGCTGGATCATGGTGGGACAAGGAAGTGCTGGAAGTTGAATTTAGCAGGAGGGGGACACAGAGGAGGTGACAGCAAAGCCTCACCCATACCCAGGACACAGGGGATGATTCCTTTCTCCTTGGAAATTTTCTTCCAAAGGCTCTGTGCTCTGCCTGGGAAGAGCAGCAGCTCAGGTTTTATTCCCTCTGGGTGTTCTGGAGGGGTCACCCAGAAGGACATGGGGTCCAAGATGATCAGAGGGATGGAGCAACTCTCCTGTGGGAAAAGGCTGGGAGGGTTGGGATTGTTCAGCCTGGAGAAGAGAAGCTTTGGGGACACCTAATTGTGGCATTCCAGTGCCTGAAGGGGCCGACAAAAACACGGAGAGAGAAACTTTGGACAAGAGATGGAGTGACAGGACACAGGGAGTGGCTTCAGACTGGCAGAGAGGGCAGGGTTAGATGGGATTTTGGGATGGAACTCCTCCCTGTGAAAGTGGTGAAGGTTTGGGATGAGATTCCCAGAGAAGCTGTGGCTGCCCCATCCTTGGCAGTGTCCAAGGCCAGGGCTTGGAACAACCTGAGGTAGTGGAAGGTGTGGAATTGGACACTCCTTTAGTCCCTTCCAACCCAAACCATTCCACGACGCCACGATTCTATCACCTGGCACGCAGGAGAGCAGCCTCCAAACGCCCCCAAAAAATCCCGGGTGAAGGTGGAATGTGCTGGGTTGGACTGGTGGCACTGGTGGCCACTAGATGGCACGGGACAACGAGCCGGGAGCCGCTTGTGTTTACCCAGGCGGGGGGGGAGGAGGAACGAGGAAGCAACAGAGTCTGGAGCTCCATCCCTTCCTGCATCCCGAGCCAAGGAGCGGCCAGGCACATCCAAGGCAGGGTGGGGTTTGCCGGGTGTCTCTTGGAAGGGAATTGTTGCTCCTCTACCTCGTCCTGGGCTTGCCCGTGCAGGCAGAGCTGCCCCAAATAACTCCCGGGGTGTGTGTGTGTGTGTGTGTGCTGGTGTGCTGGGGAGGGGGGGAAGCTGCATCCCAGCAGAGCAGGAACGGGGTGTGCTGGTTTCACCTCCTCTCCCGGGACACAGCATGAGGATCGCTGGGTTGGAGCCATCCCAGCTGCAGCCAGGCCCTGCTGGAGCCGGGACGAGGCGGGTCCCAGTCCCTCCTCCCAGTTACATCATGGCCAGGGAGTTGTTGTTCAGCTCGGGGTTCTTATTCCCACAACCACTCGCTGAAAGTTTGCTGGGCTGAGTCCTGGTGAAGCCCATGGTAAACCAGGAAAACCCTGAAACTGCCTGAAAGCAACGCAAGGAGGTGGCTGCTCCGAAACTGGGCACCTGAAGATTTCTTTTTTTTTTTTTTTTTTTTCTTCAATAAATACATAATATATGAGCTCCTTATTTCCCTCAGCTGCTCTGGAGGCTCACATCCCACAGCCAGCTGGCTCCAGAGCTGCCTCACTGCTCCCTCCACACCCCAGAGGAGTGAAGGAGTGGGGTGACTCCCAGCTGGAGAAGAATCCCAGCCACAGCTGCGTTTTTCTTACCAGAACTGGGTGTTCACCACCATTTTAACTCCTGTCTCTTGTCTCACTTTCTATTCCCTTCTCGTGCAAGGGAGTTGTTTCCTCACCCTCTTCTTCTGACATTTTCTGCCTGTGTTTTGAGGGAACAAATCGAAACTACAGTTCTTTGTGGGGCTGTGTGTTTTGGGGAGTTAAACCCCAACTTTTTCACACCTGGTTACAGACAATCCTCCCAGCAAAGACTGCTGGAGAGCTCTCTCTCCCCCTCTCCTCAAAACGCCTTAAAAGTGACCCAAAAGCAGCAGGTTTTGCTCGTGGCCTCATGTGTTGCTCCCCAACAGGATGGGGACAAGTTCTGGAGGATGCCAGAGTGCTACATCCGTGGCAGCACCATCAAATACCTGCGGATCCCCGACGAAATCATTGACATGGTGAAGGAGGAGGTGGTGTCCAAGGGCAGAGGCCGTGGTGGGATGCAGCAGCAGAAGCAACAGAAGGGCCGTGGGGTTGGAGGAGCTGGACGAGGTAAAAAAATCCTATTTTTTTTTTTCCCCCAGCTTGGAGAGGAGGGAATGAGATCCCTGCCTTAAAAAAAAAAAAAAAAAAATCTCCCCTCTTGTGCAAGGAACAGCTCCTGCTGCTCTGTTTTAAACCCAGGGCTGTGTCTGGGAGAAGCTGGGGCCACTCCTGAGCAGGATCCAGTCGAGCGAGTGCAGAAAGCAGCCCCTGCCAAGGAGCAGGGAGGATTCGTGCCAGGGATGGGCCTCCCTCGTTCCTGGGGTTGGGCAGGAGCTTCAGAGTCTGAACTTGACTGTTTCAGCTCCTCCTGGCTCGTTTGGGAGCTTGGCCCTGCAGAATTGTAGTTTAGCAAAGGCCAGGGGGAAAACAAAAGGCTGTTCTGGGTGAAAATAGTGAAAATAGACCAGGCTCTGCCTGTGGCAGTGAGGGGAAAAAAATCATCTTTTCCCCTGTTAAAACAGGGCTTTGGGTTTCCTGATATGTTAATGTATTTATATTAAAAAAAAAAAAAAAAAAGTGCAAAACTACGTGAGGGTTTGAGTTCCTCCTGAAACATGAATAATTCATGTTTCTGATAAAGGGGAGGTTGCCACTTCAGAAGAAATAGGTCACCAAAACAACCCTTCCCATTTCACGGGGTTGGGTAATCCCAGGGCACTTCAGCTGGGGGATATGCTGCTGCTTTTTTTCCCCCAAATGATCCTGCTGGAAGCCTGGGAGGTTTCTCTGCTCTCCTGCTCACCCCTGATGCCACAATCTTTGGGATTTGTGGTCACCCCACAACCCCAGGGCTGCTCTCAGCCCAGGCTTCGCCTGCTAAAATTTAAATCCCGATTTAAATTTTAGGAGGAGCTCTGGGGACGGGGATGTCTGAAGCCTCTCTGGAGAGCTGCCTTGAGGAGCTTTGTGCCAGGAAATCCTGGCAGGACAGGTGTGATGGACCTGGGGCCACCAGGGCGATTCCCAGCAGCTCCTTCTCCCCAAATCCCCTCCTGGAAGCTCCCAGCAGGCTGAACTGACCTTTCCA